TTTGGAACGTGATCTAACACATGGAACAAAAATATGTGTCGCTAGATTTTTAGGACAGAATGGAACATGGGAATTAATTTATATTTTATGGACAATTGTTGTTCAATTCTTTTTACCTATCTTTGTATTAATATATTGTTATGGTTCAGTTTATTTAATTGTAAATCAAAATTTTTCAATGTATCAATTATCACATAATACAAAACCAACAAATATGACACATTTATTATCGACTACTACTGCAAAGATTCCAAATAATTCACCAATATCAACAACAACAACATTAGATCGAAATATAAAAACTATTCTAAAAAATCATAGACATATTCATTATCCGTCTATGGAATGTTCAAGTATAACAACAATGACATTTATTAATAAATCTTCACCAATAATGTATCCAGTTGTATTTCGTTTAAGACGTTCATCATTAACATTATCAAAACATCCAAGTTCAAATAGTTTAGATGGACAACAAATCAAACAACGTTATGGTGCAAGTCATTTTTTATCACGTGCACGTCTTAAAACAATTAAATTAACATTTATTGTTGTTCTTGCTTATATACTTTGTTCAACACCATTTTATATTGGATCAATTATAATGGCATTAAATGGAAAATTTCTATCACAAAAAACAATGAATTGGCTCATGACTATTTTTAGTCTTTTATTTAATTTAAATAGTTGTTCAAATCCTATCATATGCTTGACATTAAGTAGTACTCTATTCCGGTAAAACATATATATAGATTTTTTTTAAAATTTATTCTATATCTTATATTTTATTTTAGACGTCGAAATGATCGTCAACAGTCATTAACACGAATAGGAAAAAGACATATCAATCATAAAAATCAAACTCTTAATAAAAACAAAGAATATGCTTCAAGACATTTTTTATTGTTGTAATTCTACTTGTTTCGCTGTGATAAATTTTGTCCGTCAATATTTGTATAAGTGTAAAAAAAACGAATTAAATTTATATATATTGTTTATTTATGTCATAAATATATTCTTCAATAAATTTCGATTACTTCTTCTATAAAATAATATTTCTATATTATGAATAAATATCAATGAAATTATAAAAGATTTTTTTTTTAATATAAATCAATTATTGAGTCTTCGATATTCTTATAGCTAATACTCCCTTGTGAATACAAATGCATATTGTAACTTATATTTTCTCAAGAGAAAAAAGTACTTTTCCAGTTTTATTAGATTTCTCAACAGTGTCTGAGGGTAAGAATATACAATCAAACCAAAAAAGTACTCTTCTATTTTGAGAAAATATAATGTTATAATGTATTTTTATATTTATGTAGGCCTATCAATTTTAGAAGGGAGCGCAGACGTTTTCTCTGTAATTATTTTTTGTATATTCATTTTTAGATGTTTTATTTCATAAAAGTTTTTTAGTGTTGACACAAAAGTTAATTGAAAATCGGATATTTATTATAAAAGAAATATTGACGAACAATGCATTGTTTTCTTTGTTTTTAAGAGTTATCGGAAACTACTTATATTCAAGGTGTCAATTTTAGAAAAATGAAATATTCCTTTGTTAACAATTCAATTGATAATAATTTGTTAAACAATTCCAGAGAACATTAGTCATTTCTTTAATAATCGAAAAAAAACAGAAGTTTTGACTCTCATTTCCTTCTATTTGATTGATTGTCACGTTTGTTTGCGCACTTCCTCTCGAACCCGATTTTTTTTTGTTGGAATACAAACAAAAAAAAAATCCATTATCGTTCTTATGAACTTCTCGCCCTACCCTATGTAACATTGAAAAAACAAAAATTTTCTATATTGATTGAAAATTATATCGTTGTCTATTGCATTATTTAGTTAATCGTTCTGATTTATTACTTAAACATTGATTAAATTCTATTTTAAAACAAAAAAAAACTATTATTATGATTATTATTATTATTATTATTATTACTAATTTATGAATATCGCTTACATAATATTTGTCCTAGTATAAGTACTAATCAAGAAAGCACTCATACTAGAAAATGTCACGAGAATTCATTCGTGCTCGTTGATAATATTCGTGCTAACATTTGAGTATGACAGTTGATTACTTGATATGTAATATTAATTGTTTCATGAGCACCCACGCTCACAAGGAATCGTACAGTTGTATGATGATGAGTAGTATCTCGAGCGGGTAGGATCACCCATAATCTTGAAAAATGTTCTCCAGCGTTTCATTTGTTTCTTTTTTACTCACAAATTCTCAAAAAAAATGCTCGATCCTACTCAAAATTCGGTCAATCTCTGCAAAAATCTTTCAATAAACCTCTTGAGTCATCACCCTCTCCCTTCCCGTTCTGGCGATCTCGAGATATTCCTGCAATTCTATATCTATTGTGTATTTTTTTAAAATTTTATTCTTTTCGTTGAATTTTTCAAAATAAATAAAATCTTATTTTTATAATATCTAAACTTTTGCATTAATGATGAAGTTTCTTTATTTCTATCTCATAAAGTATGAGTATATTAAAACTTAATAGAATGTAAGAAAAGAAAAAAATGTGAAATAAATTATTCTGTGAAACAGGCAAATCTCATTATAAATAAACATGAAATACTAAGTACCTATTCAAAAGAAAAAGTCAAATTGACATTTGTATATGATGATTTTAAATCGTAATGGACTTGTAATAAGAGCTGTGAGTTCTTTTTGTTTGATTGCATGTTACTGTTAATCTGAAAATTTGTTTTAATCTCATTTGACAAGTTAATAATTTATTAAATGACAAATCTTTGTTTCTTCTCTTACAGAGAATCTTGAACAAAATCGTATAAGCAACTCATCAGTAATGAATAAAAGATTAACTAAAATAGATTCTGTCTATTGCAGGTTATTTTATATCATTTTTATTAATTACAGAACTTTAACCTATTTTTATTTATGCAAGTATATAGATGTTTTACTAAATATTTCATGAAAAAAAAAACAACTATAAGTACTATATTGACAACTAATGTCATTACCTAGGAGTAAATCTCTAGAGATAAACTCATCAACTTACATGAATAGTATTCATATGCGCATATAAAATTGTGCGAGTACTCACATACGTAATTTGAGTATTCCTGCTGGCAAGTCATTTTTACTTGATGAATATTTTCACTAGGATTGTAGTATTCACCTGATAATTAACAATTACGTTTTTGACATATAAAAAAAGATTTCAATACTAAAGAAATTTAAAAAGAGAATAATTAGTATTTTTATTGTATATGTATTATCATCTATTCAATTAAACTGTTAAAGAATATGAATTGTGCATTCAATATTTATTGAATAGTGTATTGTAATGAATTGAAAAGAAAGACAAACAAAGAGTCAATGAGGACGAAAATTAAAAATTGAACAAATATCGATCGAATATATATATATTTATATATATTTCTATGTTGATACATCGATGTTCAACAATATTATTCATATAAGGTTAAGACATCGTAGAATAATAGCACTGCAAATAGATGATGATAAATCATATCATCGAAGATGAATATTTTTTTTTTTAAATTTATCAATTTTAATCTTGAAAATTCTAGATTTTATATCACAGGTCAACGTATATGAATGTTGTCTTGCTAGGAACACTCAGAAAAAAATTTAGGAACTTCAAATCAAGCATCCGGTGTCTGTCTACATCCAATTATGACCAGAAAAAGAAAATCTGACTACCGGATTTCTTCTTGCAAGCTACTACCATTTTCCTGGATCTTTCAGCTGAAAATAGCGTCTTTCCAACCGGAAAATGCCGGAAATTCGTGGAGAGAAACACCGAAATCATTGACGTCGAGTTGAATATATGTATTATTTTATGTGTGTACGCTGTCTAATGCCACATATATCTTCTTATATATAATTATATATTTTTTTCTTTTATGTAGCGTTTGAATTGATGTCAAAAACTAGACATCCGTCTACCGGAAACAATATATAATCATCTATTGACGTCAATATATCAATACAAAATGCCATTGTCATTGAAAATAACTATTTTTTTCATTTTTTTAAACATGTGTAGTTGTAAAAATAACTTGTAATTTTCTAAAAAATAAAAATAAATTGTTTATTCTTTTACGAAAAGAATAATTAGTGTATCAATCAAATAATCGGAACTGGGAGTTTTTGTTTTTTGATATATTAAATTCATTTTTTCTTATGTTCGCAATTACTAAGTCTCAAACAAATATGTTTATTGTAATTACTATTATTGAATACAATAATAAAATGCTTGAAGTTTGCCTAGGCCAGCTGAGTGGCATCGCCATCTAACCCTGGAGTCAGATTCTAGGGTTTTGATACTCTGCCTGAGCACTATTCTATGTCATCGATGATTAAAACTAATGATCTTTGCGTCATAACACTAATTGATTACTTCATACATACTGTTTATTGATAGATTCGACTGTTTCTCGAACTTGATTTACTCTAATTACTTGTAAAAACTCGAAACCGATTGGAAACCAGAGACTTAGGGTCTAGTTTCTATACTCATACAAATTGAATAAAAATAAAGCACTAATAAAGAAAAACTGCTTGAAGCTAATTACTTATCAACTATTATTGCGTATTCATTTTATTAATTCAAACAGAATCAATTAAATTTCAAACCTTGTTATCATCATATGAATCACTCAATGAATTATCATTTGATGATGTTATTTTTTTCTAGAATGAAAAAGAAAAATATCTAAATTGTCAGGTGCGCATAGCATGATTATTCTTTCAAGGGTAACTATGTGTATCTTATATTGCTTATTTTTATATCAAACATAGGCAGTACCCACTCATCCACGTCATATAAAATACGTCACTATGACGTCAATTAGAAAAAAATGATTTTCGTTATAAAACGAAGTGCTATCATATATAAATGATGGTCTAGACTACTGCAAAATATATTACAAATCATATTTTATACTTTTTACATTGATTAGTGAACCAATAAAAAAAAAAAATGAGTAAGTCATATTTAAAATCTCTTTTCATTTATTCATTTTTTTTTCTGAATAGATTTTCTTGTTAATCGTCTTGAACGTAATCTTGGTATGGATTTAAATGGTGATGGATATATTGGAGGGCAAGGTATAAATTTTGAAAATAGATTTTGTTTTTTTTAATTATTATTATTATTATTTTGTTTTTTTTAAAGGCTTTCTAAGTCGAATGGAAAGAGCAACTCATATTGACTTTAATGGTGATGGTATCATTGGTCGTTTTCCTGATGTTCTGTATGGTTATCCAAGAATGCATGGTCATCCTGGAATGTATGGTTACGGTTTTCCTGGTGCATATGGTCATTATGGTTATGGATGGTATTGATACTACTAATTATTATAAAGAACATTATTTATTAATTTTTTTTTATACCTTTCTGAATAAAATAAACGATATATTTTACTTTTTTTTCGATTATTTCTCTCTATCATTGTTATTTAATATCATAGATGCATCTTTGTAATTATTTAGCTTACTCTAAAAGTTTCACTGGTTTAGAATAAGAAATTGTTTAGGAAAATATGCATATAACTTATGTACTTATAAGACAGTGAAATGAAAATTTGCGGTTTTCTTACTGAGTTTTTATTTTTCTTTCTAAACAGCATCAACTTTCGATGAAGGAGAGTGCAGATCTTCTCTTCATCCACATCTTAGAGAATGTATGAATATTTAAAGGTCTCTAAATCTACAACTTCTTTATTTTCACTTGATATGCAATGATATCATATAATGACGCCGTGATATTAAAAGCATAGGAGGAAGTGAGAAGATTGTAAAAGTTATAGTCTTCGCCTGTGTATATAAACTTTTAGAACTAGTTAGTTTAAAAATCGACTGTTACAGTTTTTCAAATCTTTAAGCATGAAACACTCCTCTTATACATTTGAATTATTAGACACAACAATTGAATTAAACATGTGTTGTTCATGAAATATTAAATATCCAAAAACAATTATGTGCCACCAGGAAAGGTAGGCAAGTCCAATTTTTTCAACATTTGATATCTCAGCAACAACATAACCATTTAAGCTGAAATTTCCAAGACATTTGAAGATTCACGAGAACTACTTATGGACCAAATATCAGCTTCATTGATGAGTCATATCTACAGTGTTCTCTCGCTTGGTGACCACTGAAAGTTACCGATGAGTAGTATTTGATTATGTTATCTTTATAAAAAAAAAATAACCAACTTCAACTAGGTCTGTATCATCAACAAAACAAATTGAACCAATTTGACCGAACAGAAGTGAAGATATTCCAAATTTTTATATAGTTATTTTATAGCTCATGTTTTAAAAAGTTATAAAAATCAAGTTGAATTATTTATCGACAAGAGATTATAAGTTTATATTATTCTTATTTTTTATCAATGAAAGAATAACTAAAGAAGAGATTCTTTCATAAAAATTTTATTTTAAAGATCTGAGTCTATAAACGTTGAAAGAAAAAGAGAACTGTTTTTTTTTATAGAGCATTTCAAATTCATAGATACATAACCACGTATTTTTAATCATTAACATTTCTATGAATTAATAACAAATAAAAAAGGATCACTCAAAATAGAAACAGAAAAGAAAAAACCACTCCACATTAACCCTAGTACTACCAGCCGGGGTCATTTTTGACCCCGACTCAAAAATTTCAACATACACTAGAAAGATTTTGTTTCTTCCTAGCTTTTGGAAGCAACTAGCATTTCTCACGGATAGATATACGTTTTTGAATTAAAAAAGAAGTTCATTTGTTTTCTACATCATTACAAGCCTTCGATGGAATAACATGTCTTCAGTATACAACAAACATATAATAAGAAAGAGATACAAGTTAAATTTTCGAAACTGTAATGCAATAAGTCATTTACTATTCCAACTGGATATTTTAGATCCATTAAAAAACATTTTTTTGAAGTAATTTTGAGCTATCCAATTAGAATGGTAGATGATTCATTCAATTGTGGATTCAAGGTTGGCTTGCCTCTTTTTCTTGTGTCATATTTATTGAGTAATGAGGTCATTATAACATATTAAAAGTGTGTAATGGTATAGAGAAAAAATGAATTGCTTTTTAGGTTCAACAAGATATATCTGCGTATATCTATTAGTAATGGATGCTAGTTGCTTCCAAAAACCAGAAAAAAATAAAATCTTTCTAGTGTATTTTGAAATTTTTGAGTCGGGGTCAAAAATAACCTAGGCCGGTAGTACTAGAGTTAATAACGAAAATTAAATAAATCGATTATGGTAAATGTTCTGTTGTATTAGGTGGATATTTAATATAAACATAAATATAAATAAGTGGAATAAGAAGTGCAATAAGAATAATAACTGTAACAATATGCCAAAATTTACAGCCACAATCGGCACCATCACAATTAAAATCACTGAGCGGTTTTTTTGTTGATCGTATCATCATTTTCATTGTTGGTTGATCAGATATTAATGTTGTTGTTGGTGATTCAATCAATTGTTCAACTTTAGTACGCATTGATGCTAAATCTTTATCCATTGCATTTAAAAACGCATGATGATTTTCTTGAGATAAATGTGTTATGGATAATGATGTATTTGTTGTTGATTGATCATTTAAATTAACAACTATCGATGATGATGATGATGATTCATGAAGTAAACCAAAACGACGTACAGGTACTCGACAATATGTAAGAGCATAAAAATCTTGATCGTTTTGTAAATTATTTAGACGTTTTAATTGAGAAACCTGAGAAGAAAGAAAAAACACGAATAACCTTCCTTTTTAGTAAAATGCCGGAAATGGGAAATTAAACCAGAAGTTTCTTTTATTTTCTTTATATATGGTTAGATAGAGTGTGATGATCTACTTTTACTGAAAAATAGGTCAAGTTTTGATTTTTTTTTTCATTTCCTTTAAATTTCAAAATTCTTTTGTTTAAGATTTAGCGTAAAAAGATAAATCTAGGAAACTCGTTTATAAATGAGTTTCCTAGATTTATCTTTTTACGCTAAATCTGAAACAAAAATATTTTGAAATTTAAAGGAAATGAAAAAAAAAAAACAAATTTGACCTTTCTTTCAAAACAAGTAGGTCATCACACTCTATCTAACCATGCATAAAGAAAATAAAACGAAACTTCTGGTTTAATCTTCCATTTTCGATAGCTTAAAAAAAAAGCGATTATGAAACATACTGGTACTCGATATCGAATAGCAAATGCTTGAATAGTTTCTTGTGGTCGTATAGGTTTTTCAACAATAACAATTGAACCACCACCATGTGCTGTTGATGTTAGTTGTTGTTTTATATTACGGGAACGTATAATATGTTGAGCTTTTAATTTGGTTTTATTATCATCGTCATCGTCTGAATCAATTGTTCCTAATTCAATACTATTATTATCTATTTCAGATGAAGATAAAAGTGATTGAGATAAGGCATTGTTTTCTTGAGAAGTTTTATTATTTTTTGAATGATTTTGTCGATTCTTTTTGGTTTTTGTTTTGGAATTTAAATTTGAAGAAGAAAATAGAGATTCTTTGAATATATTCATAATATTAGACGATAATGGTAATGTAGAGAATATTATAATATATAATTTAAAGAAAATTAACAACATAATCTGCTAATCATAATTGATATTGATTTGATAGATAAACAAGAAAATGAATGATACACATAATTTGAATATTAAAAACTAATCATTACTGAATGTCAAGTGATTATAGTCATTTATTAAATCGACGTCTGATAGAAGCCACGTTAAAAAGTATACATAAACCGAAAGTAGATTGGTCTGAGAAAGCGACAACACATAGACGAAGGTCATAAAAGATCAGGAAGAGGGCGTTAGTCGATTCACCTTACCGTAGTAATAAAAAATCATTGCATAAACAGATTTTTTTGAAAGATAATCCATTATGTAAATGTTTCGAAACTAACAGTAACTACACATCCACTGTCAAATTTATCAACAGATTTGCTCAATTATTTTCACGTATAGCCTCAGAATCATTGTGCCAATTTCTATTAACAATATTGACAATCATGTTTTGAAATTTCACTACACTTAAATACGTAATCTTCGTTTTCTTTTTTATCATAGTACTTACAGCCCATGATCTAAATTTTTCGATGTATGTAATTTTTTGTCATTTCACAAAGATGTAAACGTCTGGAACATCAGTATATGGTAAATCTCTGATGAATTGGAAGACTTACTGTTATCGCTACTCTTAGTAATGATGTTTGTTTAGGTATCTCAATTTCCCATTGTATCTATCTAACATATAACACAAGCTGATATACGAAAGAGAAAGGGAGCGAAATGAATACATAAGAGAATAATGAAGAGTAATATCAATATCGATACATACGGCTAAGACGCATTGCATTTATCAACGATATTATAATATCATAATATCCTTTGTGTGTCGATGTCTATTCATTGCCATTGTATTGTATTATATCGAATATGCTATTATGGTTTCTGTTGTTTATTAATCCTATACAGACTACATTTTCTCAAATAGAACTTGCAAAGAGAAATTATTGTCTGTAATATATCGAATGCAAAGATGTTGGTCACATTGATTAAAAACACCTGTAAAATCTATTATTATAAAAAAAAGAAGTTGCATAGTGTTGTTGGGACCGTATATAACCACTTATTTTCTGTTAAGATTCTCTAGAAAAACAAATATTGTACTCATTGAGACTTGCAAACTAGTATGGGACTAGAATTGTGGATGGTGTTTCAGTCTCCTTGACCATATCTGTAGACCAAGCTCAACTGTTTATAGGAGATGCTGGGATTCCTCGTCTGATTGCGTCATTAATTAGCAACAGCGACGGATATCTGAAGATGTTCACCAGTTGAAATCGGACATTAAACTAGGTTTTTTTTTAAACAAAGTCATTTGCGACATCTATACATATGAATCTAAGAGGCAAACAAAAGAAGCATAGCTTTTTTCCTCCTTTTATACCTATTCGATTTGGTAATTTATGGAATAACGAATCTGTTTGCTTGTTTATGTTTTTGTATTGGAATATAATCACAATGGTCAGTAATTCTTTCCGGTATCGGTACTTGTTACAATGTCTTCTCGACAAAAAATTTATGTTGGTTTGGCCGTTTCTGCTAGTGTTTGTACAGGCATAGTTTTATTTCTCTATTTACGTCATCGACGAAAACTAGCATGTAAATGTTTAGATTTTCATTTCTTTTGATAATTTAGTTTGTTTTTTTCAGTATCAAAAACTCCAAATTCTAAAACATCGGCCTCAATTTTTTCTCATCGTGGTTCTCAATATACCGATATAACATCATCATCATCCGACAA